GAAAAGGGTTGCACATTTTAACAAAAAATTGAAATGTTTACATTTTTATGTTATACAAAAATAGAAATGAAAATAATTTAAACAAATTGATACCATTGTAAATACATAGTAGTATACCGTCAATAATTACTTCATTGTAATACACTTTAATCGTCCGAGGAAATACTTAAATGTCTATTACAAAATAAAGCCAAAATTATAACCTGTATAACTAATAATATTTTATTCTTCTCTCCGCGAAACGTTTGGGACTTGATTGTATACGTGGTGCAACCCTTGAATTTTCAAAATAATATTGAGAGTACACGGCATATATGTAGTATAATCAATGGGAACACCACTGATATCGTCTCGAACCAATAGTTTGTGGGCTGATAATATCAATACACGTAGCCGCATACGGTATTATACTGGTAAAAACGTGAACGCAACAACGCGGTATTAGATTGTGTGCCAAAAGATAGATAGGTTTAGTGATTTCGAACGATGTCAGTTAAATTGGCATCGACGATCGGAAAAAACCGGCAGTCGAAACGGAAATTTCAATCGGATAAGGAAATTGAAAATCGAAAAGAAGAATAATCCATTTGAAGTATAGATTTCTGTAGAAATATGTATAAAAATCAATAAAATAAGATAATATTGGTGTAGCATTTTTAAACCAATTATTTTCTAAATATTTTGATTTAAAACCGACGACTTATGACAAACGCAAATTTTCATTGAAATGTTCGTATTCTTCTTTTAAGAATGTAAATTCATAATATTTTCCGGTATTACCGAACAAAAATGTATGTTGTAAGAGTACACCAATAAAGCACATACTGAACTAATCTAACCTAATACGTGAAATATCATTTTAATTTTCAATTCAAATTAAAAAAAAAATATATTCAAAGATCTATTTCATTAAAATATTTGAGATCGTCAATTAAAATCAAAATTATTAAAAATCATTACCTAACGGAAATAGTTGATGATCAAAACCGTTTTAATAACCCGACATCATATTTTTACACAATGGATGATTGATTTTTTTTTTTATCAATTTTAACGTTTCATCTATTTTGCGATGACAAACACCATTTAAACATATAATTATAATATTTTGTATTGTATTTTTTTGTTTTACTTATGAACTTTCTCTGCAGTAGATTAGAAAAAAAATAATCACCATCGCTTAAAATAATAACAACCTACCGACTATTTTAATGTACCTATTCATTTTTTGAGCACAATAAAAACGTTATTAATGTTATTAAACTAGTAAAATGCACCGAAAATCATAGAATCAATGAATCTACTTACATTAGTATATTTAAACAACATTTTCTATAATTTTACTACGTCAACTAAATCGTTGTTAGGTAAGTAATGCGTCTTACTTTGTACTTTTCACTCAACGAATGTGATATCCGGCGTGATGTTGCGGATACAATTTTAGCATAAATAACTGATTATTTTTGAATAAATAACATGAATGATTTTAATAGTTTAAGTATTGAAAAAAAATTCTCAACTTTCTAATTTTTCAAAATAATGAATTTTTTCAAAGTAATATATATTAATGTAATACATAAATTGGGAAAATAAATTATTAAAATATTGTATAACAAAACGATAATAACAATATACATATACAAAAAATAATAATACAAGCAATAATACCAATTTAATATAATATTAACAATTGTATAAAGATTAAAGATCAAGAAAAAATGTCTTAAAATTAGCAAAAACAGTAATAATAAATTATAATTTACTTTTATTTTCACCAACTATTTTATAATTGAAAATTTAAAGCACATAATATATAATACATATGTTTTAAATGCGGACAACAAACCAATTTCAATAAAATTCAAGTTAAACAGGATTACGTGGAATAATGAATTGTGAATATTTGAATAACCAATTAATCAGCAATATATGTATAAGGAATAAAGATATTTATTAATCTAGAATGATGAATAACGACTAATCGTATACATTTTAAGCGACCAACAAGAATGAACCTGAAGAATAAATGAATAAAGAATAATTTATTTTTTAAAATAATTAATCGAAAGTTATTTTATGCGACTAATGCCAAACTCTAGTCATCGGACAAATGATCGATTCGATTATTCAGTGGCAATGAATAGTTTTTAGTTTGATTATCAAACCGGATAGTATGAGTTACGTGCCGACACGTAATCCATAGTGAGCAATCGTTTATCATTAGCGACGATGACTATTTCGACCGGGCACCGATGAAGACATTGCTTTACTGCGTCTGTAAAGGTGTTTTACGCATTTTTCTTACGCGCACACGTCGAACGAGTATAAACAAATTATAATAATTGGCAATCGCGCACGGCACAGGGATAAATTTGTGACCGCTACGATAATTGTATACACGTACATTCTTACGGTCAACAAAAACGCACCAATTTGTCATTTTTACCGCTGGAAAACGAAAAAATTATGATAAGATCGTAACAATAATAATGCTTATCGTTAAAATATGAATGTTGCGTTACAACAACAAAAAAAAAAAAAATAAAAAAAAATAATCCCTTACCCTCTTGTCCATGGAGGTTTGAAATCGCACGCAGTTTTTGCATTAAACTTCACGTATATACGTATACATACACAAAGACGGACGCGAGTCATTAAAATATTAGCCAATTTAATTTAAATTAAGTTTGAATTCATTTCGTCACCGTACCATTATTAGCAGGTATGCGCTGAAGGACAACTCCGTCGTGCGTGCGTAATATCGGCATCGAAACTACCTACATGAAAATGGCGTAAAAAATATTTTTAAACAACAATAATTATAATGTACGACCCACAGAGTGATGTATGTTCAAGCTTAGGACTGGTGTAACAGGCAAATCATACCCCTGGAAAATATTATCTGGTGAAGGGGAATAAAATTTTCCTAGGTATATTTTACCCCCCCCCCCCCCGTACCAATTATCAAAGGTTATTGATACCCCCGGTAAGATTTTCCTAGGTTAATTATACCTCCTTTAGTGGGTACGATTATCCTAGGAAAGTTTTACTCCCCGGTAAGAATATCCTAGGATAATTTTACCTCCCGGTAAGAATTTACTAGGAATATTGTACATCGAGAAGGGTATGATTTTTCTAAAATATTTTTACCCCCCCCCCCCCCCCCCCCCCCCCCCCCCCGGTAATATTTTTCGGGGGTATGATTTGACAAGAACCCCGGCGCTCAAAAATATAGCTAAAAAAGTAAACCACAGTCGTAATTTGTGTACATAAAACGTTGCTTTTAAACGTTTGTCGTCGATTTAATGTCATGTCGATCGTTTTTTTTTTAAATTAATTTTGTATTGTACATACACAGCCGAATGGCACAAATTATTATTCGAATGCGTGCATGTTAGTTAAACTTAGCATCAAAACTAGTTCAAAACAATTTGGTTGCCCAACCGTATCCGAAATGATTTGTCAGAACCAGGCTGTTATGTTTACTGTTCATCGTAAGCGAATATTATTACGTTATACGACAACTAATCGTTTGATATCCAACTAAAAAACGAGACTGGTTAAAATGAAGAAAATTGTTGTCCGATAGAGAATCGTTACCGTGACAGAGTTCATTGTTTGCACTACACACAGAGCAAGCAAAACGAACTTTAAATCAGCTTTTGGATGTTGTATGAATATAACAAGAACCGTACGTGAAAAAAAAAAATTGAAAAATATTATTGATTTTACAATGTATATTTTTCATCGTAACAGGTGCATTTTTTTTCCACTATTTGCTCTATTGATTATCATCACGAACATTGCGTTTATCAATAAATCTTGAAAACGTTTGTGCATCAATTTTATATATACGTTAAGACATTTTTATTTATAAATTTGCTATAAAAATTTGTTGAATTAAATACAACGAATAGGTATAAAAAGAGAGCAAGAAAAAAGAAAAAAGACAGAACATTTAAATTTTAGAGGCTCATTAGAGCTTGAGGTGGGTTTTTTTATGATGTACGTACAAATATCGATTTTTATCAATACTCAAATTACGATATTTTTCGTGAGCGATGGTAACGAGTTTTTATATCGATATATTAAATATCGTGCCTATGATCGGTATTAACATCCCTTAACGCGACAACGTTTAACGGTCACGTCGTCGCACCGAATATCCGTACAAAAACGTGTATACCGATGGCGTGTGCCACGAACAGGTACCGGATACGTTCGTGGCGAACGATGACAACAAGAGTAACGTGAATGCGTGGTAGATTCTTCGGAACAAGTATATCGTGAACACTAAAACGGCATTCCCCGTGGGTACAACGACAATTAAAAAAGAATAATAATAGTAAAAACAATTTGGCATTAGCCGGAGCACGAAATTGTAACATTAAAGAGTACTGAAATACGAGCCGAAAATTTTCGAAATAATCCCTGAAAACATGAACAATGGCAAGAGGAAAAAAGGCGAAACTCCTGTGTAGAGTAATATACAAGGATGGGTATTGCTGTATTAGTCTTTTAAAATTGTAACCAATGCTCTTGGGAAAGCGATTGTGAGTCAGAAAAAAGAGAATCAGAGACCTCTTACAGATAGAATTTCTGACTAACCGAACTTTTCTAACCGAAAATGTCAAGTGCTTATATAATTTTGAAACTATGAAATATGTTTAACCAGTATCGTTTAATGGAATTTTTCGTTCAAAAATCCGATTTCGTCGACATTTTATCCCGTAACGTTTATAACTTTTCAATAATTGTATTAATGTATATATTTGGCTTCAAAGAAAATTTTATGAAAAATGTTTTATGCAATTTTCAAGCCTTAAGAATGAAAATGGATTTTTTTTTATGGTAATTACAACTGATCGTCGTCTTGCATTGGTTTTTTCCTGTGTTTTGTTATTTCACGCAGTCCCACGTTTGTAATGCGCGTTCACTATTTGATTTACCAATCGATATTTATTATAATACCTACTTTATACTAATTGATGATAATAACTATTTATTTTTTTTCGTTCCACAGAAACCTTCGTCATGACATCGCCCGCAGCATCACCGCAGAAACCGGCCATCACCAACTCCACCGCGTCTCCGGCCCGTTTGCCGAGCGCGCAACCGACGCCATCGCACAACTCGCAACCTGCCGCCGCAGCCGCGATCGCGCAGACCATCCAGGGCAAATGGCAGTGCGCCCTCCGAGACAACCCGGTGATGGCCAACGGGACAATGGCCTGGACGCGGGTGTGGAGATTCTCCAAGCTCCTGCTGCAGACCGGATGTTAGAGGACGAGACGGCCACGCAATTTTAGACTAAATAGTTGTTTAATTTTTCTCTCTCTTTCTTAGTATCTCCCCAATTTTAAGCAAAAAAAAAAAAAAATAAATAAATAAAAAAAAATCTGTACTCAATCACTAATAATATATTACACATTATAGTCCGTACGCGTTGTGGCACGCGGATAAAAAGAAACATCATGCAAGCAACGGCCGGGTCCACGCACGTCGAGAAATCGTATAAACGAAAAAACAAACAGGACCGGGTGTGCTGATCCTGCAGCGAGGAACACGACGGCAGATCCGCACCGTTCGGTATCGCAATTGTACTTGGCTCTTGCGCACCACGAACATTAAACGTCTTTGTTGTTGTAGAGACGTAAGGATTTGAAAATTAATTAAAATAAGATATCACACCGATATCCGTTTACGCGCCACGTGTTGCGTAGACCGTCAATATTATTATCATCGACGATCATTAACGCGGTTTTCGTTTGCTGCACGGATTGCTGTCATCGTAATAATAATGCGTTCTTCTCAACGTGTTCGGGAGGAACGACCACCTACTCCACCAGGACGATGGCATTACCTCTGCGACGGCGACAACGTACCACGGGCTTTTTTTTTTTTTTAATGTTACAACACACCAATTGAAACTCTCAAGGCGCACCGGTGGTACTGATCGACATCTTCACCCCGTGTTCAACGTACGCGACTGCGGACGACACCCGGCAACTGTACGATTCGATCGAATAATATTACATTATATTGTATGGAAACAATACGCGAAATTAAACATTACAGATTAGGCAATTTATTATAATTATTATTATTATTATTATTATTAACATTGTTGTTGTTGTTGTTATTATGACAGGGACGCGTACACATATTATTATAATACACACAACAGTGCTGTGCAATTACTATACTTATAGATTTGTGAATGATGTGTTCTAGTTAACATATTACTATTGTGCAATTAGAGAGACTGTTTAGGTTTTCGTGTCCTCCTCGTAGCAAAAATTATGATAAACATGACCGTTACCCGTAATTTTTAGGCGTAACTACCGATTTTACCTTCATCTCGAGTATACAGTACTATAAATATAAATACACGTAGTGTTAAGCGTTTTTTTTTTTTTCACAAGTCTAGACTCGTCGCGATATAAGATATATTTGTGAACTCATCGTTGTGTCGCGCCGTACACAAATTTAAATAATCCTATTAAACTATCAACACACGCGCGCGCGCGTATTATAATATTATAATATTAAAATAAAAGCGTACCAGACGGTTACGGCGAAATGAATTCAAACGATTTTTACCGATTTTGAAATGTTACACATCTTTCAACATCTACAAACCTGTATATCATTATTGTTAAGCTTTTAAATTACTGCGTAGTCTGTACATACCGCTGTTGGATTACGATCCGTTCGTCTTCGATGTTATCAGTTGTACTACGCGACGGGCCGGTAGTTTTAACATCACGGTATTCGATAACATAGTCCAACAATAGTAACGATACGGCGTGACACGTACCACACAATACCGAACCACTACGTTGAGTAACGGTAGCCTAGCCCTAGCTTAGGTACGAAAACCGATTACTCGTATCGATTTCTTCTATTGCTGTTGCTTACGAATCGATCATTATTGCGATTGTTTAATTCGGCATCCCGTAATATAATAATTTTATTGTATCATGCTATTATTGTTAGTATTAGTATTATTATTATTATTATTATTATTATTATTATTATTATTATTATTAT